CATACCACGCTTTGTTGTGTGTGATATCCGTCCATTCCCTCACTCTGGTGAGCAGGACTGCTATATAATATTTGTAAACGTGGGGCAGGCCTAAGCCACCCCCTCTTTTATGTCGGGTGAGGATTTCATATGCCAACCGTGATTTTTTAAGTCCCCACACAAATGAAAGAAAGGACTTTTTCAATGTGTGGAAAAAGGCGTAGTCTAGTTCGATTGGCAGGGTTTGGAACATAAAGGATTTTCGTCAGGATCATCATCTTAAGGATGTTGACCCTTCCAAAGAGCAAGAAGTGCGGTTTGTCCCATTGTTTCAGTTTAATGTCATTCAGTAGTGGGAGATAGTTCATTTTATATAGGCCTTTGATTGTGGGTGTTAGTTTAGTGCCCAGATATGTAAGGCCCGAGTCTGTCCATTTATAGTTATAGAGATCCCGAAGTCTAGTGGTTCGTGTTGTATTTAGCCCCACTCCCATTATCTCACATTTGTCGGCATTAATTTTGAGGTTCGAACATGCACTAAATTGGTCTATTTCTTGTTTAATATGGATGAGTGATTGCTCTGGGTGCATGAGGGTGAGGAGTACATCGTCCACAAAGGCAGAAACTTTGATCTCTCTTCCTCCTGCACAATAGCCTTTTATGGAGTTGTTTGACCGAATCGCTGTTAAAAAGGGTTCCATGGATATAACAAAGAGGAGGGGTGACAATGGGCACCCCTGTCTTGTGCCATTGCTGATGGTGAATGAAGGTAAGTTCGGTCCATTGACTCCCACAGTGGCAGAAGGCCCTTCATACAGTGCTCGTACCCATGTTATATAATTAGGGCCCATCCCTAGTATCTCCAGAGTGGTGAATAGGTAGTTCCAGTCCACTCGGTCGAACGCCTTTTCAGCGTCGAACGAGAGTAGGACTGTTGGGGTTTTAGTGTCAGAAGCACCATGGATGATATTAAGGATGTGGGTGGTATTGTTCCTGGCCTCTCGATCAGGTATAAACCCTGCTTGGTCTGTGTGACAGACCCATCTGTCTGGATTATAAATGCTGTGTTCGCCTGTTTTGCCGGTTACATGAATTTCCCCATTCGTATGCTTTATTCAAGGGAATGTCGGTTTTGTCGAACGGAACTACCGAACGGACGGCCACCCAGAAGAGAAGTGTGCTGCTGGTTAACCTATTGATCCCAATTAGAACGTTGCGGTTAACCACAGACACTTCTCAATTAAAACCGAATGCCGGGTGGTCGTCGTTCGTATGTCGACCACGAGGCGGCGGCCATTTTGTCCATGCGAACGACCAGCGGTGTTCGACGATTATTTCATGGATCTGAAAACGGACACTTTTTCAGCCGAACACCGCTGAAGCCGTCGACCTCCCCTTCTCAATCGACAAAAGCATACGAATGCCAGCCGTTCGGGAGATTCAACCACACGAATGGACTTAACCCAGATAGCCGTCCCATGGAGTCAATCGCATACCGACGAACTGAAAGAGACTTTGACTCCATGGCGATTGAACTGTGCGAATGGGATCTGAGCGCTATTCTTCAATAATGTGCCCTCAGATCCAGGCTATCTGGGGATATGCAATACGAATGTAATATGTTCGGCAGTTATGAAGTTATGGATTTTCATGTGTTTTTGTGACTTGTGTTTAAAATGGCGATTGCCTCTGCTCGGGGAGATAATTGAGTTACTTCCCAATTATCCCTCAAGCAGAGGGGAGGAAACTGTGATGCATGCTGGGAATATTGTGGGGATGTATGTCCAAAATGTCCCCATGTCCCTCTGTGATTTCAGTCTCCCATTTGGTCCCCTAGGGGAGTGTCCACCAAGTGGGAGACCTGCATTAATACCGGGCAGGTAGCCCACAGTAAATCAGTTCGTGTTTTACCCTCAAAGCGGAGCTTGGTCTCGTTATTGGGGGGATTGGGATACCAGCGGCGAGAGACTGCTTATTTGGATTATTTGCCGCTTGGGAGATATTGTCGTTCGGTTACTAATTGCCGTTCGTGGATTTGCAGCTCGTGAAGGGAATTAGCCGTACAGGTACCGTTCGGGAGTTGGAGTGTTCCCTGACTGGCGGTTCGCATGGTTTTATTATACCCGCTACCCAACCACATTATTGCGAACAGGGAATACTCGCTAAACGGCGGTTTGTACATTTCAGTACTGGAGGTACCGTAACAGTCTGTATGTATTAATTCAGGGAGAAGGGACTTAATCCGGTTGGCCAGTATTTTTGCAAATAACTTAAGATCTAGGTTAATCAGGGACATGGGCCTGTAGCTGCTGCATAAGCTCGGGTCTTTGCCAGGTTTGGGCAAGATAGTGATCGATGGTGCAAGGTTAGGCCATTGATTACTCCCAAGTAATGAGGGGCTAGGATGTGTTGAAAGGATTGATAATATCTGGCCTTTAAACCATCTGGTCCTGGGGAGAGTTTGCCTTTCGGGAGAGTTGATATTGCTTTTTGTAATTCCTCCATTTCGATGGGTATTTCCAGTAGGTCGGCCTGGTGTGGGGTTTGGGTTTTCTGGACATGGGAAGAGGCATATGTTTTTATGTCATGTTGGGGGCTCGTTGGCGTGCCTAAATTGTATAGATTACTATAGTAGTCTCGAAATGTTTTAGCTATGTCTTCTGTTTTGTCATGGCGAGTACCCTCTATTGTCTTAATGTGGGAGATGTATGTCTTTTGTATTTGTCTTTCAGTGCCCTAGCTAGGTATTTCCTGCTTTTATTACCATGTGCGTAGTACGTCCCTCTGGTCAATTAGATTGCCCTATGGGCTGTGAGCGTAAAGGTGGAATAGTGGTTGATGGGAGATACATCAGACCTGATTTGCTAAACAGCAACCAGAGGATTTTCAGTTAAATGCCCCAGGGAGAGAGGTTAAAGTTTGCAATATGCATAGCTGATGTTCTGCAAAACCTGGTATGGGTCCCTGGGGCGGAGTATTTGGAGAGCAGGGTGGGCCAATGCTCCAACAGCATTAGTTGCTGTGTAACAGACCACTATTTGGATCTGACTTACGAGTTAGTTAATTGGCACTCACCTGTAGCCAGTCAATTAGTAGACAGGCCTTTAAAAGAAGAGGGCAGCCTGCTGCAGAGTGATGGAGGAAAAGACAGCTAGGAGAGTGAAAGACAATTGTGTTTATTGCAAAGCCATTTCTTTTGTTTGGAAAATTGGTAAGTGGGAAAGCCACCCAATTGCAGATAGTAATTCATGTCTAGTAAGAGCTCAAGTAAGAGCAAGGGATTTTGTTTGTTTTTGTTATTATTTAAGCACCTGTTTCTTACTGAATAAAAAGGAAAACTGAGCTGAATGTGTCCTGGACTTTGTATACCCTAGAAGGCTGTGGTTACTGCAAGATCTGTGACAATCCTACCTGTAAAAGAGGTGGTTTGTTACAGGGCCTTTATTTGGAGAAGGTTTAGTAATTCCATTCGAAGTGCCGTTAAGGTGTTAAATGTGTCAGTTGAGGGGTCGGATTTATGTTTTAATTCTGCTCTGGAAATATAATTTGTTTTAACTGAATTTTAGCTATGCGTTCCTTTTTTTTTTTTGCGTGCCCCCCATTTGATCAGGACACCCCATGATATACCTTTACGTGCTTCCCAAACCCAAGTGTCTGCAGTGCCTTTGTTGGTATTTTCTAGGAAATATTTGGGGATGGAGTTTTTAAGGTCATCTATTACTCTAGGGTCATCTAGCAGTGACTCATTGAGTCACCAGGAGTTGACGGTTGTTCCTACATCTTGGAGAGATAGTGTGAGGAATACCAGGGCATGGTCCGACCAGGTAATTTGTCCAATGGATGCCTCTTTCAGAAGTTGTAGTTGTGTATGCCACAGGAAAATCATATCTAGTCTAGAGTAACTGTGCACCACTTGTGAGTAATATGTATAATCTCTCACTTGTGGGTGTGAGATTCTCCAGCAATCTATTAATTGGTTGGCATGTAGTGTCCTCTGAAAGCGGATTTGTTGGTGATTTTGTGTGTCTTTACTGGTCGTGGAACTGTCTGTGGAGTGGTCTAGGACCATATTCCAATCCCCCCCAGCACCACCACTCCAGTTTTCTAAGGCACGCGTTTATGAAAGATACCTGTTTGGTATTGGGGCGTATATAGTCGCTAGTGTAAATAGTGTGTTGTTCAGCATGCATTTAATAAATAGGAATCTTCCAGAGGGATCTAATTTGGACCCGCTAAGTGTGAAGGATCTGTGAGAGGATATCAGGATTGCTACACCTCTAGATTTGCCACCCTGGTAGTTACTAAAGTATGATCGCCCTATCGTTCTGGCCCTCAATTTAGGAGTTAGGTCTCCTCTGAAGTGTGTTTCCTGTAGAAATACTATGTCAACCTGCTGTCGGTCTATTTCTTGTACCAGTATTGTGCGCTTCTCGGGTGTGTTGATTCCTCATACATTTAGGGACATAAATTTAAGGTCAGCCATTGGTGAATAACCAATATGGGTGTTTGTATCAATCGTTTGATAGCTTGGGTGTCTGTACCTGGTGAGGGGATGGAGAGGGAGAGAGGCAACAAAGGATGAGGTTAAACCTGGGGGACAATGTACATAAGGAATATGTGGCACATTTGCTATAAAGATGGTGTCTAGCACACAGAGGATCATTGGATCCCGGGTGCTCCCTTTGACACCTCTTGGGGGGTTAAGTGGCATCGAACCTTCAGGACTATGGCATATGTCATATATAATGAAATACAGTGTTTTTACTGATAGCTTATGGTATCGTGGTTGTAGTTATCCATAAGATATTGATTTAGATGAATTTCCAGTTCCGATGCGGCCTGGGCCCAGATCCCAGAGGAGGCACGGTACCAGGCCACACGGAAGTTTGGCATTTTTTATGCAAATAAACATATTATAACATATTATAACGCTTTACAACGTGTGGCATGGTGTCAATTAGACAATGCTATCATATGTCAAAAAGGCAATTTTAGCAGAAAGAAAGGATATAGTGAGTCTTTCATGGTGTTCTGTGTATCGTGCCTTTTGGTGTTGTTGTGAGTTCATTGCCCGATGGGGCTCGTTTTCTTCTCTTTCTGGGAGTGCGTTGCCATTTAGCCCTTTGGAGAAGTTGTTTGTCTTTCTCCGATGGCAGACCTGTCCAGTCTTCCACTGGATCCGTTGGTAGTCCCAGGGCCTGTTGGAATGCCAGTACATCAGCGGGGGTCATGATTATGTGTGTGTTCCCCTGTCGGTTGACGAACAGTGCAAAGGGAAATGACCACCGGAATCTTATGTTGCATTCTGACAAGGCAGCTGTAACAGGGCGCAGTACTCTCCTTACTATTAGCGTCGATTGTGCCAGGTCTTGAAAGACTTTGTGGTCATTGTGTGTCATGTCTCTAAGTTGTCTGGCCTTTTGTAGTATAGTTTCTTTAAGTGGATAATGATGTAGTCGGCATATGATGTCCCTTGGTTTCTCATGGGGTAGTGCTTTGGGTCTGACCACTCTGTGCTCGGTCAAAGTTTATGGCTGTGTCTTGCAGCCTGCCTAATATTTTGTTGAAGAGGCTTGTGTGTCAGTATCAAGTTCTCACTTTCTGCCTCTGGGGCTTCAGGTAGAAAGTAGGTTGTTGCGCCTACCCCTATTGTCTAGGTCTTCTATTTTCCTTTGCAGGAATAATATGGCCTCATTATGGACTTGTTGTAGGGATTGCACATTTGTTAAGTGCAAGGCTGTAATTTCTCCCTCTTTCTCTAGTGTTTGCACTCTGTTGTCTATATGGCTCACCTCCTCATGGAGTGTTTGTAGTTTGTCCCCAAAGCTCTTCTCCATTCTGGAAAACATTGCCTCGAGGTCTGACTTGGATGGCAATTGTGTGAGGAGTGTCTTTTGATCGGCTCCGTCTGTGGAACCATCAGAAGGAGCAGGGCTGGCTGGAGCATTGCAGGTGGGGGATTTTCCCGCCGCCGCCGTCATTTTGGATTGCTGATCCGTCTCCGATTTTTCTGCAAAATATCGCCGTAATGAAGTTTTGGAAGTGGTAAGTGTCGTGGATGGTGTAGTGCCCGCTTGTGCCTTTGTTTTTTTCAACGCCATGTCGTTGTAGCTGCCGGGATTCCTATGAATTAGGCCAGTCCTGAGCAGAGCTCGGCTCTCATGCGGCCATTTTTTTTTGCTTTCATTTTTAAAACAACCTTTTCATATTATTCTTGCTGCTGTTCTCTTTATTTCATTAATACACGTTTGAAAAAGGAAATACAAACATCAAGTTCTCTCAATAAATATGTCAATTAATAGAGATATAATATGATTATGACAAATCACTATTGGCTTTGTAAAATGCCTGTTTAAATTACAGCTGTAATGAATAAAAGCAAGAGGATATTCAGCGCTTGTCCAGTACTGGTACAGTCTAAAGGGCAGCTAGGTCACCAAATCCGTCTCTCTTATCCTGTGGAGAAGCAGATAAAAATAAAGAGGGAGGTGCAGCGCATGAAAGCCCTTGCTTGAAGTGTGTATATATAACCATAAAAAAGAGGAGAAATAGGAAACCGATAGTGAAGTACGTAAAAAATACAGTAAGGTGAGGGTAAATAAAATTATATGCACTTACACTTTATAGGAGCTTAGGTGCAGCTCCAGCTCAGATGCTTGGGTGGAATAATCCCCGCCTGAGGATATGTTGGAGTACAGATTCTATAGGAGGTTCTTGTGGATGCAGCTGCTCTTGTATATATGTAGGAGAAATCAGAGATTTATAGTGCAATATGCCAGACTCAATATTAAAATATGTAGCTATAAAAGATGTGCACTCACGTGTGCTGGAGCCTATAGAGTGACTCCACAGGTATGGTGTGAAGTGGTATGATCCCCACTCTAGGATATAGGTGCTGGTGGTCTCTCTTGGATTATATAAGTAAAAGAGAAAATAAAACCACAATAGTGTAGATTGTAAAAAGTGATAAAATGAAATAGATAAAAACTACTCACATTTGATAGAGCAAAAAGGGATTGCTCTGTCCCACAGGCTTAGGTGGTATTATCCCACCAAGGATTTGGAGTACAGGAATCCAGCAGCATACAGGTTCAATAAAAATTTACTTCTGTTGAAAAACAATAAATGATAAAAAAAATAGGGTAAAAGAACTATATAAAGCAATATTTAAATACACTTAATGTGTTTCACCATACAATGGTTTTTTAAATATTGTTTTATATAGATGATACCACCTAAGCCTGTTGGACAGGGCAATCCCTATTTGCTCTATCATATGTAAGTAGTTTTTATCTATTTCATTTTATAAGTTTTGTGGTTTTATTTTCTCCTTTACTTATATAATTGGAGAGAGACCACCAGCACCTATATCCTATAGTGGGGATCATACCACTTCATGCCATACCTGTGGAGCCACTTTATAGGCTTCAGTACACGTGAGTACAAAATTGCAATAAAAGCAAAAAAAATCATTATAGAACTACATTCTCAAACTTAATATTTTTTCAGTTCAGGTACAACAATATAATTATAACAACTCACAACTGAAATTTCAAAAATGCCTGAAGCTGACTATGCATTAGGCCATTTTTGCATTGCAGTAGACTAATAGGCACATACATACACACACACCCACTGATATAGACACTGGAACATAGACACATACTGACACATACTGACACACACACACACAAACACACACTGGCATATACAAACACACTCAGAGATACACACTGTCACATACCCACACAGACACAAACATTGGCACATGCACACACCCAGCTACACACACTGACAGATACGCACACAGACACATACTGGTATGTACTGGCATGTACACACTCAGATACACAGTGTTACACAGATACACACACTGACACATATACACACAAATAGACACTGATATACAGATACACACCCAGCTACACATACTGGCACATGTACACACACACTCAGATACTCAGATATACACAGTAACACACAGATATACACACCTAGACAGATAGAGACACTGACACATAGATACACACACTTGCACATACACAAACTCAGATACACACACTGAAATACAAATACACACACACACACACATTTCCCTACCCATGTGTGACGAAAGCTTGGACAGACTCAGGGAAACAGCATTTCGTCTAAATATTAATGTGTTTGGCTATTTCCTGTATTTGTAAAAGAGCCGAACAAACTCCCGAACCACCCGACCTCCCACCAGGGTCGTGTGCAGCTCATTTAACACCCGGACCTTGCGGTTAAACGTAAGGTAATTGATGAAAGGCTTGGTGGGCCGCATTCGTTTGCCGAACACGTGGCGGTCGCCATTTTAAAATCATCGAACGCTCAGCGGTAGATGGTCGTCGACCCTCTGGAACTGTTTTCGGACACTTATTTAGCCGCACACTGCTGAAGCGCACCGAGTTCCCGTCCATTCGGTTAATAACTCCCGAACACTTTACTGTTTGGGACTTTCCTATTATACAAGCTAGACCGACCCCAGGTAGCTGCAGTTATGGAACTCTTTTCGGATTCAATTTCCCGAACAACCGTTGAACTAAAAACTTCACTCAACGATATTGAGAACTGTGTTCCTGGGATCTGAGCGCTATTCGTCTATATTGTGCGCTCGGATTCAAGCTATCTGGGGGTATGTGGAACATGGAGACTACGTTCAGCCAAATATGAGTTATGGATTTTAATACAGTTTTGTCAAAATGTAAAAAGGACATGTTTTCTCTACCTGGAGATAATTAGGTTCTATCTAACCACTTAAGTTAATTATCTCCAGGATAGAGGGGAGGGGTTGCACTGTTACTGTGGGTGTGTTTAATAATTGTACTGTAGACAGATTGGTTCTGTATATTGTGTCACAGTTTTCCACAAGGTCCCCTGTGGGAGTTTCCTTGCTGGGAGACCATCATAAAAGGCTGAGTTTGGCCATCAATAAATCAGATCATTTTACCCCTTCATGAAGTCTTGACTCATGTTTGGGGGAATTGGGAGCTATAATCACTACTTCGTTATTATTCTACTGGGAGTTCGGGAGAAGCTGCAAGGATCGGTACTACAGAGATAACAGGATCCTTCACACCATGTAAGTACCACAAGCTCCTGGAGGAGCCTGCTTGCCAGCCTTCTGTCCACAGACTATGGGCCCTACAGGCAAACCTGTAAAAGACTATTTAACTGGCTTGGTTCTTGTAATTCCCCTATGCTGTTCAGGAACCGAACCGCCGCACAAACTATGGACCACCCAGGAACTTGTTAAGCCTAATGGATACATTGTAACGATCCTAACCGCAGTGTTCTAATGGTTCATCTGGGTGGCCGCCGTTCATATTCACGAACATGTGGTGGTAGCCATCTTGTACACCCGAACGCATGCAGTGGTGTTTCGTCATCGAGTTCATGGAACTGAAACTCCAGAACACCTTGGACTTCCAAGATCATGTGCGTTTGGTTTTATATAACTTTCCCCTCCCTCGTCTGGTTACTGGGAGGGGAAAGGGCTAAGCACTGTTCCAGTGTTGAGAATTCAATGGGGAAAGTCCTTGTAATGACTAGAGTTTCAAGGACTGAGTGCCGTCCAGTGCCTGGGGGTGGATAGAGTGAGTTCCCCATTCAGCTCCAGGAGGGAGTGGTTTCAGGACCCCAGTCAAGTCACGGCGACTGTGGGCAGAAGTGCTGCGGTTTGTCCCCTGTTCCAGCTAGGAAGCAGTCCTTGGCGGAGGTACCCAGCCAGGGGTATAGGGAGCTCCGTTACACACACACGACATAATTGTTATATTTGCAGCCACCCTCCTGTTAACATACTGTTAACATACCTTTTGTGTGCAGGAGGTGACTTGCTTTGTGTGCTTTCTGAGGCGGATCTCTGGAGGGTCTGCAACAGCTCTCTTAATGCTGCTGCCTCTCTCTATCCAGCGCTGCTGTAACCTCCGTCTGTGACTGCTGTGACCGTAATAGCATTTGATTCTACAGGGCTTAAAGGGCTGCAGTGCTTGACTGGGCCCACGTTCTGCAATAATACCCATTGAGTAGCCCTAAATGCACGGGCCACTCGATGGGTAAATAGCAGCGGCCATTTTGGATTGGATTCATGCAGAACACCAATTGGGAAACACTGGTGTAGAGCGATATTTTGTCATAAACAGGTCAGTGAGCAAATGTGAATGTGTAACAGATTCCTTTTAGCAAACACTGTAAAAGAATCTGTCCGAGTCAGCTTGGATGTTAGGCAAATGAATGTCTCTCTTTTAAATATTCATCTACAATATACAATGATTATTAGTAATATACAAGGGATCTAGATAGTTGTGTAGCAGACTTTAAATTTCCCAGTAAGTTACCAAAGAAGCACTGCTCCTGTTGACTTGAAGGTTCACTCCATGTTGATGAAGATGACCAGATACTACCAGTAAAACAAATGCAAAATAGTACAAATAAAAGGATTTCAATTCTTCCCACTAATATTTGTAACAATTTTAAAATGTAGAACCAGCATTAGTCACTATTTGCAATAACAGCCAAAGTAAGCAACGTTGGTAGACAGACATATGAACTAGCAGTAGACACAAATATCACTTCAGTTAGAGTACTACTTTTATATACAACACATCTTTTGAAGGACACTCAAAATTATGCTGATATATTGACATCTTCAAAATGAATGTTATAAAATCAAGACCATTGCCAGCATATCGTTCTCCAACTCTAAATAGAACCAAGTGAACCTAGTAAGCATTTGAATTTCTATACAATTTATTCACAAATAGACAAATTTGAAACACATTTCCAGCAGTTATTTTCAGCATTTTTCTTTTTACCAAAAATTCAATATATCCCGGTCAGAAGTCCACAATTCCCAATTTGGTGATTAATCTTTAAATAATAAAAAATACAAAATATTTTAGCTAAAGTCACCAGTTTGTCACTCAAACAAATTTGTAAAATTGTAAAAAGCTAGCATAAACATTGTATTTACTGTATGGGAAAAAGGACTGCTATATAAAGCAATATGTCGCCCTGTAGATGATCCGCAATTTATAAGCAACTAAAACACTTAAATAAAATAAATAAATAAAAAATATAA